AAATCTGGCAGGAGTGAGAAGCAGAGCAGCACTCAAAATCAAAGCTATGCTCTTTGGCGAGCGGCTCGGGAGAGGCGTGAGAGTCGCATGGGAGTGGTGCAAGAGTGGTTTGGGAGTGGGAGTGCCATGGGAGTGGCATGGCAGCTGTATGGGAGTGGTACGAGTACGAAAGTGCTTATGTGGCCTCTCCGAGAATGGCATGGGAGTGGTATGAGTGGCGGCCTGTCGCTGTCGCAGGCCTCCCCAAGGTAAACCTACCACAACCCGCCTTCGGCTGAGCAAATACACAAGCCGCCCAAATTCCAGACACACAAGTCACCTCCAACTCCCATACCCAAACTCCTGTAAGTGGTTGAACCTGATTCCCATGTCCGGTTGCGTTTTGCAAGGAAAGCAATCTTCAAGAATTCCTTCCGTCTGCGCAGTACATGCTACAGACCGCAAACCATGAACGCTGCCTCAGCCAATTCAGCTGATGAACGCGAAGGCTGCGGCCAACAATATCGGGGTTGGATGATGTCATGTATCTGGCGATTTCCTGTCTCAACGTGGTTCTCTCCTACCTCAAAAGGAGATATCCCTCACAATCCCAACGGATGCAATACCTAAAGAGCACATCTGCCTGCAATACATCTTTGAACCCTTTGGGTATCAACCTCCCAGGGGCATCAGATGGCCTTGCACGTTCGAGCTCGACCTCCGCCTCTTTAGCCTGCAATTGGGGACGCAGAGGACATGCCCGTTGTTCGGAGTTCATGGGTTGGGCTTTGGAATGGCAGGGATATCATGCGGATTCTAGGCTTGCACCTATTCACTTCAATCCCAGGTCCTTGGCGACCTTCCACACCAAGGCAACCCAACGTGCATCAGAACGTGCTGCGATTTCAGCGTCACCCTTTGGACAGCGTTGTTTTGTGAAACATCAGACCTGGTAAGCAGTGGGAGACTCTTCTACGTCTACTGCTCAATTGTTTAGGTCAAGAAGATACCACCCCTCGCACTTTGGCAACCTGATAGCACTAAAAATGAGTGCTTCCACACATCTTGAAGCAACTCTGGTGCATGCTCGCTGTCACCACCCCAAGCTGCAGCAAAACGATGCTGCAGAGGCGTCAGCTTCACGAACCTCCGGCTCATGTCGCAGTGAAGCATTCTTGCTGCTTTCCTCCATGTCTGGATATCCCCAGCTTACGACCCTGCCATCCTGTCTCACTGCTGCAAATGCCAACTTTGTCGAGTAGATCTCGTCAACGTTGTATAGCTGCTCCTGGATGCGCATGCTATCGCCACCCCAACCTGGTTTGCCCCAGCTTATCACTGTGCCGTCCTTTCGGATGGCTGCGAAGGCTTGAGACGTGGAGTGAATCGCTTTCACATCATGAAGTTGATTCTGTACGCTCTTGCTGCTGCCGCCACAGTTTGGGTCGCCCCAGCTGACCCCTGTACCGTCTTTGCGGATCGCGGCAAAGGCATAATGAGCCGAGCAAATTTGTTGCACTTCTTGAAGCTCCTCGCGGACACGCGCGCTATCAACGTCGTCGCCCCAGCTTACCACAGCACCACTTTTTCGCACTGCGGCAAAAGCTACTTTGTTGGAATAAATGTCTTGTACATCTTCCAGCTGCTCTTGGACACGTGAGCTATCACCACCCCTGCCCTTTCCGCCCCAAATAACTGCGGCCCCATCCTTTCGGATTGCCGCAAATGCGACTTCAGTGGAGTGAATCTGCTGCACGTCATGCAGCTGCTTCTGGATCGGTGCACTATCGCCACCAAAGGTGGGATCACCCCAGGTAACCACAGTGCCATCTTTGCGGACGGCAGCAAACGACCAAGCAGTGGAATGAACTGCTCGAACATCATGAAGCTGCTCTTGGACGTGTCTGCTGTCACCACCACATTCTGCATCACCCCAGCTAACCACAGCTCCATCTTTCCGGAGTGCTGCAAACACCACTCTGTTGAAGCAAATCTCTTGCACATCGTACAGCTGCTTCTGGACATGTGAGCTCTCACCACCCATTCTATGCGCGCCCCAAGTTACCACGGTACCGTCCTTTCGGATTGCAGCAAATGCAGAACGATTTGAATAGAGCTTTTGTACATCTTTCATTTGCTCGTGGACATGCTTGCTGTCGCCTCCATAGTGACGGTCGCCCCAGGTTAAGACCACACCATCCTTCCGGAGTGCAGCAAATGCCCCGTCCGTCGAGTGAACCTCTTGCACATCGTTGAGCTGGTCCTGAACAGGAGTGCTGTCACCACCAGAACGCGGATCACCCCAGCTTACAACAACACCATCCCGTCGCAGTGCAGCAAACGCCCCACTAGTGCAGTGAACCTCTTGCACGTCTTGAAGCTGCTCTTGGACACCACTGCTGTTGCCACCCAAGTCCGACTGGCCCCAACACACAATCAAACCATCGGACCGGACAAAGGCAGATGCACCTTCAGTGGAAACAAATCTACGGGATCTTGAAATTTCGTTGTGCAACAGCGAGCCCGCTTCCATGGCGGATGCCAGGGTCTGCGATGCTCTAATCAAGCCCTGATCGCTGAGTCTGACAGCAATGAAGCGTTGATTCATGAAACATGTTGAATGCCCCATAAGAACACTCAGTAACACCTGTCAACATGTGCCGAAGTTGCCTTGCCGGCAACTTCATGATAGACAATGCTGAGGATGATAGAGCAGTGTTGACGCTGTTGCCCTTGCTGTTGCGGCTGCTTTTGTAATAGTCGACGTTGTCGTTGCTGCTGTGGGTGTTGGGTTATGGTGGTGGTTGTTGTTGTTGTTGTTGTTGTTGGTGGTGGTGGTGGTGGTGGTGGCGGCGGCGGTGGCGGTGGCGGCGGTGCTGGCGGTGCTGGTAATGCTGGCGCCGGTGGTGTCGGTAGCGATGGCGGCGGCGGTGGTTGGCGGCGGCGGCGGCGGCGGCGGCAGTAACGGTGATGGCTGTATAGTGAACCGTGATGGCATCATTTTCGGCGTTTGATGCCAGGCCTTGTCCACCGCAGCGTGAGCTTCGCTGGTCAGGGACTCCACTTGCCTCCTGCACTCTGAGGTACAGTAGCAACGCGAAGGTCAAAACTACAACATCAGCTTTCGACAATTTGATATAAGCATAAAGCGCAAACTACTGTAGAATAATACCGATTCTAATTAGTTTTCCTTGCAAATTGAAAAGTATGTCGAAACGAGTGTTCGCAGCGAATTCACCTACTTCATGCCTCATACGTGGAAAAATGGCTGCCGTACACGGTATACCGAAGGTGGCACCTGCCCCTGAGAGCTTTGCGATTTCTCAACAATTGGCTACTCTTCTTGTGCTCGGAAGCTGGTAAGCAGGAACATCTCAGCTGGTGTGGCATACCATACCACCCTGTAACCATGTTAATGCCAGGAATCAAAACAAGAGCCACTTATCCTGCTTACCAGGTTCCATTGTAACTCTACGTGGCATATTCATGCTGGAGATCACTGTGATGCTTTGGCTAAGACTAGATGTCCATATTGCGATCCAAAAGGCTTTGCATGTTCATATTGCAAACATCCTGCCAGTGTCAGATGTTGAGTGGGCGTACCATATAAACAAAATCAAAAAGACAGAACGACCATGAACCCCACATGCCCATCTCCAAACCCGAACCCCACGGCCTGAGCCTTTATTTAGCTCTTGGCCCCAAACAGCCCCAGGTCAAAGGAGCGCCTTAGGGCATCAGCCTCCGCTGTGGCGGAAGCCAGCGCATCCTGGGAAAAGCAGTTGAACGGTTGGGATAGAGGGGTTTGGGCTTGGAGCCTGTGTGCGCCAGAATTTTCGGTTCGGGCTCAAAGCGTGAAATCCGTGACACTGGTGATAGCAACTCAATACAAGGCGGAAGAGGAAGCCTCATGAGCATGATCCAATAATTCCACCAAGTGCAACAACGCGTAGGTTTGAGTGTGCGGGCAATGCATGGGCGGTTTGGTTTGCGGAGGCTCGTGGCGCCGCAGGTGCTGGGCTTCATGCGAGTTGTGCAAACACTCCACGGGACACTTACAATGAGGAAGGCTTTGCAGTTTCCACACGGCGCCCATAGGGAGAGGAACCCGTAAGTGGTCTCGCGTTGGCCCATCTATATCTGCGAACGCCGCAGCTCTGGGCTGGGGATGCATGCCGCTGGTCTAATGAAGCGCTACTGCTTCTAACGATTGAATGTGTGCTCATGATACGAATTGCTGATTGCATGTAGCACCGGCAACGTCTCTATCTGCCTCATCCTCGCGCGGTCTGCCACAGTGGCGGCAAAACCTTGGAACAAGCAGGTCTGCGGAATGCTGCAGAAGCCGTGGGATGCGTTGCGTGCAGCAGGATGCGGAAGGTCAACACGCCGTCAGGCTTGTCAAGATAAGCAAAGGCTTGGGGTACCTTGTCCAGGGGTGAGGCATAGGAGCTCTGTCAGCCACGTACTTCATGATCAGAACTTTCCCCGGGGCCGCCCCCAATTTGCGACACCCCATGTACCAGTGCGCATTTCCATTCCTACGTGCCAGAATCCGCAGTGTCCGCAGCCCATCAAGCTTTAGCTACTGCCCTTTGTAGTAACACTTACCTCAACGTCAACATTGTAGTAAAACACAACACCTGTAATGAAGGGTAGATGGCTTAGAACACGGCGCTTGAAATAAACAAGCGCAAACCCCAAATGACACTTGTAAGGCTCCCTGCGCTGCGTCTGCTAAGTAGATGCTGCCGCAGTCTGGGCAGGATGCGACCTGGGCAGGACTGTGAAGGCCAGAAATAACGGTAACAGCCGGGGTTCTGCCTCTGCCGTACTGGCTATCTTTTCCTTTGCGCGCGCATGGATATCTGCGCGGCCGCGTGGCGCTGGCCGCCAATAACAAAAGTTCACAACCTATTGGTAAAGACCAGGCCAGTGGGTCCGCTTTCCTACCTCAGGGTTCAAGAAGGCTTGAGCGAAGGGGGAGGTGAATGCCATCTCGGTCCAGATCCAACAGGGACTTAGTTCTTGCGACTAGCGTAGCCGGCAGGAAGCTTGTCCGGGGGGCAATCAATAATGTCGTCTCGTCCTGTCCCAACGTCTTCCAGGAACGTGATGGTGGCAAAAGCGTTCTCTGCGATGTGCATCGGCCACGTTGGTCCCTCTGGCAGAAATGCACATTAAACCGTAGGGCTTAACTTGAGCGGAGCTTGGTATTCCAGAACGGATTCAACCAGTGAACCAGCTGATTCACAACACTGCTCTGATTCTTTATCGGAGGAAAGCGCGTTTTACGACATGAATTCACCTCGATCCGGAGCCGCTCGTGTTTCAGTTTGCCAGTTGAAACATTGGAAAGTACGCGTCCATGCCTTTGGGGGCATGGCGTTGAATCTGCATTGCGCAATGCATGCTCTATAGTGCTGATTGTAAGTGTTTTATTGCATGCCACGTTTCAGTTCCCGAAGAGCATACGAAGAGCAGGCGCAGAGCATTAGGCTGTCCCACCACCAGCCAGCAAGCAAAAGCAGATCCCGATCCTATCTATCGTCTCCCAGTCTGGAGACTTTACTTACTTACTTAAATAACTAATTGAAACAAGACAATGATTTCCATGGTTCGATCCTTCTCCCGGCGCTTGAGCATCTCTTCGACATGCTCGTCTTCGTGGCAGACGGTGGCCATGGGATCCTCCCAGGATTCTGGGCCACTGGAATGAATTCATGTCCTGCCCCGTGTAAAACCTCCAAGGATAAGAAGATAGTGCCGTCCAGTAATGGAGCCACTCCCACGGGTTTTTGAAGTCCAAAGTCGAGACCACTCAAACAAAAGCAGGTCCTCCGTGATCCACTTGGGCATCAAGAAGTAGGAGTGAAGCCAACGATCCGCGAGATTTGTAACCATGGTCACAATGTTGCCCACCGGCTCCTGCAACAAAACTAAATTCCTTTATTTGTCTCTCAGTCTTCAGCGAGGCAGGAGGCTTGCCCCGTGTTGGGGCAGCGCGTCAAATGAGGCCCAGCTGAAAGCAAGACTACGAGATCGCTACGCGCCTTCAAATGCCGGCGAAGAACCCACACATGCCTCCTAACACCTACCTCACGCTCTTTGCCGCGCCAGCTCCTGCCAATTGATGCGAACGATGCCCTTCCCCAGGGCAGTCATGCAAACCTCGCGATTTGTCACCCAACGCCCTGCCACAAGTCCACTGTGAATGCGGTAATGAATCATCTCGGCACTCTTGAAGTAAATTTCGTACTGCCAGCCGTTCTCATAGGTGTAGATGATGTGCTTGCCAAGAACTTCGGACAAATCCTGCTCAGGATACTTCACCGAGCCGTCTGTCTTGGCTTTCTTTGCCTCAGGCGCTTCAGCTGCCATGGCAACGGCTGAGCACTGTTTTCCTCACAGCAGGGATTTGAACCTCAACTGTGCTCCTGCAGGTAAGACTGGGTTTCTAGCATTCGCTTCAACAGAGGTCCAGGATGGGTAAGGCCATAGTGACAGAGGCTTTTCGACATTTCACAAGAACGACGCCGGTTAAGCAACTTTTCCACAGTCTCCATATAAGGAAAGGGCGCTACTGACCCGAGTTCGGCAACATATGACCTGCGTTTTTTCTAGGAGCTGTTTGCCCGTGTCTTGAAGGAAAGGATCTGGGTCTCGAAGGTATCCAAAATGTGGAAGGGGCCTAGGACAAGACGGTGTCTTTGCTGGGGACCCTAAGTGCTCCTGATTTTGGCCTGAGCCCCTGGAGCCTATATAACAAGATTCCTTCTCCCTATGCCCACAGAGCATTGCATTATGCCTGCCGACGGGACATTGTGTCACACCTCCCAACAAGCTGGGTGTTTGCCCTTCCCTGAAGATCAACAATCCCCCAGCTAAATTGCCAGATTTGCTTCAGCAGGGGCCGGGCAGCCGCAAGCTCTGCCCGGAGCTCAGCGATCTCGCGCCTTCACTGTGTTGCAAGTCAGTCGTGTCAAGCCATGCAGGATGAGGTAAGGATCATTGAGCCCCGCTCTTGCATGCACCACCGTACTTATCCTGGAGATCTCCAAAATGGGGTCTCAAGACCAGCACGAGGACCCAGAGAAATTGTACGAAATTTATGTGATGGCAATTTTCACTGCCCTCCTAGGATTGTGCTGACGATGCAGGTTCTGCTTCCACTTAATGTATGTAATCCCTCCAGAGGCCTCTTCTTGAGCATCCGGAAACATCTCACATTTCCTAATTACCCCTGGGTTCCACGTGCCCTGGCACTCCTTCTTTTGTGCGAAGGCTCATCTGGGCAGACAAACCCTTTTCCTGCCTCTGGAGCACTGCTTCTTGGGCCTCGCTGGCCAAGGGTTCGTCATCCTGGTCAGCTTCTTCTTGCCGACTTCACATCCAGCCGCTTTGCACACACCCTGAAACATTCGCATACCCGAAACAAAATCTGCTTGACTTACATCGTCCCCAACGAGGTCTGCAAGCATGCTCGTTATCCGGTCAACCGAGGTCGAAAAACATGGGCGTTGTCGCTGTGGTGCCGTCTGCAAACTGCAACACAAACTTGTCAGCGTCGCACACCGCAAACAGTCCACCGACATACTCCAACCGAGGCCCAAAAACATGAGCGCTGTTGCGTTCCCAGCCCAGCATGAAAGAGACACTAGTTCTCGCCCGCTGACATGCATCCATAAGTGGGCAGGTGATTCCGACCATTTGCCGGATGATTTGCTTGGGAGTACATGCGTTCATGCGCATATGCCTGCATACGTACAATCTGTTCCTCAATCTTCGTCTGTGCCGTGTATACAGATCTACAGTATTGTCCCTTATCTTTGGGGTGGATGACACAAGTGCCCTGCACCCAAATCATAAGCTCCGACCCTCGAAACTTACAAGACTCATTCGCAGTCCCATCATGTCCCATCCATGTACCCGCTCCTCACTTCAAACACCTTATGAGAAAGCGCCAGTCTTAACGCCAGATGCTGGACTACGTGCTCCTGCCTTTGCCTTCCTCCAGGCACGCAGAGCCGTGCGCAGGAAGCCCTCGAAGCTTGCTGGTGGGAGAGCCACTTGGTTTGCGGTCGGGGGTGTAGGGTCCAAGAGTGCCGCCAAGGAAAACAAATGCCCCTGAGCTGATGACATGAACCCGTGGGCATTCTCAAAGCTGTTCAGGGTCCAGATTGGGCTCAGAAGAACTGAGTGGTGATTATATTGCAGCCCACAGACTGCAATAAGTAGTTTCAGACAAACCTGTTGTAAACATGTCAAGAGGGTTGCCCCAGGTGGCTCCATGTCTGCTTTGCTTAAACATAGAAAAATTCAGAGGACGGGGCACGGTTCGGAAAGACCCAGATTCAGCTTCGGGGAGGTGTCTGAGCACCGGAGAACAAAAGAAGGCAATGGGATAGATAATTCCAGATTCGACACTGTCTTTTTCAAACTTTGATGCCGCGTTGGCAGCTCCCTAAAAGAGTATTTCAAGCAACAGTGTTGAAGACCCTTCTACAGCACCTGACACCGTGCCTCATGATGTTGGCCACCATGAATACATGCGTGACAACAGCTAAACATTGTTTCTCTTTGAGCATCTGTCAAACAGTTGGTCGGCAGCTCCGGATAGAAAGTGAACCTCATTCAATGACTGGGCTCGGGCAAAGTAACCAGAATCCTAACTTCTGGTAGCCTTAGCAGCCTTAGCACTACAAGTGCCCCAAACCCTGAACTATGTTGAAAGCGCAACCCCCCCCCCCCCACCTTCCTGATTCTGTCTTTGCTGATTTTCATCATCTGACAAACAGCATGCTTGAACAGCTGACAGGAGAGCACTCCCTTATATATCGATGATGACTATAACATTCCCACAAAGTGACTCCCTTTGTTTTTGGCGAAAGCTCTTGGCTCTGTGGCGGCCTCAAAGCTTGAAGCCAGCAGCGAGGACACGAGACGCCTGGCAGCCTCCACATGCAAATTGCGCGTGGCACTATGCATGTGGCGTTCTCTTGCTGCCTCACGCTGTACTCAAATTCTGCGATGCTGGGGGCTGCATGTGTGACGATCCTCGCCAACCAGTAGCATCTACACAGCTTCCGAAGAGTACACCAACCGGATGCGCGCGTGACAGAACTTAGCAAGATAAGCGTCTGGCATTGTGTGTTTGGGGGCCTTGTGGCTCCAGTGGATGTTGATGTTAGCTTTGAATGATTGAACCGGCGCCAAGGCCTGCTCCCTGCGTGCCACCAACATCTCAGAGAGCTCATGCCTGATCTTCAGGTGGTGCTTTGGCTGTGGGGTTTGAGGTTCAGGGTTGCCAACTAAGGGCTTGAAGCTGTGGTTTTCAGGCTAAGGCTGGCTTCCGGCTCTGAGAGGCTCTTTCATGTTGGAATGTCAAAGGGATCGCACGCTCATGCCGCTCATCGTTTTGGAATGCCACCTGTGCGCCGAGTTTGTCCTTTGTACATATGCATCCAGACAAGGGCAACTGACAATCTCAAGCATACTCCACGTAAACCCACACTCCCGAGAGACCGCTGCAAGTCGGGATGCTGCATGGAATCCCGGGACAGCGCCGTGAGCGCTTCAGCCTGGCGACACCGACAGAACTCATAGCCTGGCCTCAGCTAGGACCAACAAAAATGTTTATTGGCCGATGTTGCTCCTGTACCTGTTCTTTCTCCAGGGATAAGTTGCAAAGCAAAGGAGAGCTGTTCATAGGTTCTGGGCTTTTGAACTCTATTCAGTGAAGCCAAAACATGTTCACCAGCAAAGACAACATCTGCGCGTCCCACTGATGGCGATTAGCAGGTGCCTGCAGGAATGGACAACAGCCCTTTGCCTTTTCCAGCACACGCTTTGGTAAGATCAGGTGCGATCCAAAAGAAATTGAGTCACACCCGCAGTCTGCCTCCGCGTGCTCAAGATGAATCACGCGAGCACTGGCATCTACCTGACACTTTCGAGAAGGCCACTTCTGCTTTAGCAGCATCTTTGCAAGTAATTACAACTGTTGAGCACAGTGGGGTATCTCGGGGGACTGCACACCCTGAAGCCGACACCCGCCTGCTGGTCGCAAAACTCTGACTTGGCCTTGGCAGCCTGGCCCAGAGATCACCAAACTGGGGCCTCAAAAACATGTCTGGCGCGCACTGACAACAAGGGGAACGCCTCTAATACGCCTATGAAAACCTTTTAGTTTGAGAGCTGCCAAACCGGTTGGGGAGCCATCACATTTTTTCACCGGGAGGGTTTAATGGTAAAGTCTGTTCGCTAAGCCGCTCTGTTCCAGTACAGATTTGCCTACAGTCGCCTCATTGAAGTAAGACTCTGTAAGACGCATCTTGCACAGCACATACAGCACGCATAATATGAGTACCCAAAAAACCGTAATCTCATGTCTACAGAGGACCACCTGAGCTTGACTGCGCGTAGACTCCATGGAGTACAAAATCCCATATCCCCAAATCGTCCCATGCTGTCCAAACCTCAAGGCATACTACCATGTCCCCTGTTCTTTATCAGTGTTAGCTTTGTGGCGGTCAATTGGACCACGCGTTGACGGCCAAGACCCTGTGATTTTAGAAACGGGACTGCCTCAGCCTGGGCCCGATCAAGGCTCCTCTGCAGCGAGGAGGCTGCCAAGGCCTTCCCAAACTCGCAACTTTATGAGTGATAAAAATGTAGGCTCTCAGGGTTGATGCAGGGATGACAGGCTTTTAGGGGCTACATGTTAGGCTGGCTATATGGATTCTACATGGCCAACTGGGAAATTCTGGCAAGACTCTGAAAAATGTGGGGTGGTAAAGGAGGTATCGATATCGTTTCCAGGATGAATCCAGCTGTACCGAGCACTCTTTCAGAAAAAATCCAAATCAGGAGTTATGACAGTCCTAGATGGTACATAAACCAGAAATCTTGAGGAACGCCACCCACAAGCAATAGTGGACTAGCGCTGCCAACACCTGTTACTATCAAGACACTCTTCTTTCAGTGCGGAGGCACAACGACACTGAGATCATGGCTCTAGGAAGCCCGCAACACCGGACCCGAGTTCACAGACATCGCAGTACCAAAACAACGCATCAGAAAACTATAACAATTGGAGGAAGGAAGACGAGGTGATGTCATGCTCTGTTATGGTTTGCCCTCCTCGTGCCTCCTGCTCCTGAGCCACCCGAGCTTCCGCCACCTCCGTGGCTGCCGCTGCCACCGCCGCGGAAGCGCCACGCGAGGCCTCTCTTGCAAGGCAGCGTCTGTCAGCCCTGGCCGAAGCTCAAGGGTTCAGATGGTCGCCGCTCATCATTGGGGGTTTGTGCATGGAGCCACACCTTATCTGCCTGCTTGATAAATTCTGGCAATGTGATGCTGACACTCGCCTTTTTCCCTCC